TTCACACACGTCTGTATGGTTGCTGTATAGTTTGCCCTTGTTTATAAGGAGAGAAATTTTATGGCTTTGGCGATTCATTCGTTTCTTTAGGATTGCTGTGAGAGCACCTACTCTGGTGGTGCTGGCTAGTGCGGTGCATTCTTCATTTCTCATACGCAAGTTATGAGCTTGCGAGATGGAGCTAAGAGTACTAAGTATTGACCCTAGTGTACTAAAGTCGTGTCGCCTGAAGTAGCTTGTTGACAGTCTTTTCAGTTTCCTACGATCCTTTGGCTTTATGAATGTCTTTCTATGTGGGGAAAACTTTAGTGTTTGAAATGGGATGACAGCATCTAAGCATGTGTTGGAGTTATAGTAAAAGATGTCTAGAGCTTTCGAGAGGCTATCAGTATAGAAGTACTCACTCCATTCTGAGGATCTTAGCATTGATTTCACTAGAGTCCAGTCTGCCTTACTGTAGTTCCTGTAAGTTATTTGTTGTGAAGTAGGGGTATGGGTTGCATTGCTACTTGACGGAAGTGGCAGTGCACACAGCACTGTTTTGTGGTCACTCCCTGAAAACTCAGAACCTACTAGGGTAGAAAGGGGACTTATATTGTGACAGAAGATTAAGTCTAGTACGTTATTACCTCTTGTTGGGGTTGTGACAGTCTGTTTCCAGCCAAGTATATCCAAAGTGCCCAAGAATTTATCAAATTTAGTTGGGCCTGTGGGTATATCCCAGTTGATTTCTGGTAAGTTAAAGTCTCTACATAGGATCTTATGATCGTAGTGTATGGAGGATAATTGTTCCAGAGTAGTAATAAGTTGGGTCTCGTAATTACTAAAGGTGCCAGGTGCTCTGTAGGTGCATCCAATTAATGCTATTGCGTTATTTAAGTGTAAGTTAACCCATAAAGTCTCAGGCATGTTAAGTGTACTACTTTCTAGCTGTGATACAGTAAGTGTATTCAGAAAGTACATGAGGAAACCCCCTCCCTTACCACCTTCCCTGTCACACCGAAAGTGTGTGTAGTTATCTAAGCTTATCTCTTCATCCAGTATGTTCGAATTACACCAGGATTCAGTGATGACAATTATGGGGGGTTTGTATATTACTGTGAGTGCTCTGAGCATTGGTAGTTTATTTAGAACAGATCTAGCATTTATGAGGATCAGGTAAAGATGAGATTTGAAATAGCATTTGAAGTATTTTAGTTCGTCAATCAGCCCCGAATATGGTTCAGCACCCAGTAGTACTGTTTGACATGACGACCCTATGTTAAGAGGAGTTTCAATATCATGTTCATCTATGTCTATCGAGTTGGTGTGTGCTGTTTTCGGTGAAGGATTAAGCGTTGGAGTAGTGGATTTGCTATAGGCTACGGCATTTTTATTTTTAGTTAAGCTGGAAACATGGGTAGAGATCTCTATTTGACCTAAACTTGTGCATGTATCAGGTGTGCTTAATGGATGCGGGTGAACTAGACTGTTCCTATATTCATGCAAAGGGGTCGCCAGCACTAGCGGTTTAGGAGTGTTAGCATCCCTACCAGCTGTTTTTTCAACGCTGACAGGGACGCAGGGGATAAAAAATGATTAGGACCTTGTGAAGACCATGGTTTATTATTCCACCTATTGTTAGGCACTAGTTGTGTCCTTGTATGGGTTTCGTGTGTACTGCTTTGTGGGTTAGTTCCCAGCAGACTTGTACCATATATCCGATCGAAATTTATTTGTGTGCCATATTGTGAATGCCCTGAGTTGTTGGTGGTCGAGTTCTGACTATTGTCACTTGTACTCTTGAGGGTGGCATTGTTTTGGCGTTGGTTATCAGTGTAGGCCATGGTGCTATTTCGCACGTTGTGGGTGCCAATACTATCGACCGTGGGGAATGTGGGCTTACTTATACTGCCATTGTTGTTGTTGGCATGATTTGGGGTCATATTCTTCTTTTTTTTACCAATGGACTTATGGCTAGGAGAGGGCAGGGTCGACTTTCGGGGGATTTTGACTTTTTTTCCGGGATTATTTAGTGACGTGTCTATATCTACAGTGATAGGTGGTATGGTTTTATTGGCTATTTGGTTACAATCTTGTGGCTTTTCGGTTGGTGTCGCTCTCTGAGAAGATAATTCTGTGTGGTTAGAGAGGGGTGGTGCGGTGGATTCTACGGTATCTCTCAAAGGGTTGGGTATAATTGCTGCTTGCAATGTCCTATTGTTTATTCCACAGTTAGACTCAGTGTGACAATTATATACGCGCCTTTCTATGACGGTCTTGTCCACCGCAACCTTTACTAGTTTATAATTTCTGGCTTGCGATAGGGTGTGTTGGGAGTGGATAAATTTTCTGGCCTCAGCCGGTGTTTCGAACTGAAAACGAATAGGACAACACTTTTCATGTTGACTCTTCTTCAGCCTGTAGCACTTAGTCTTGGAGTTGGGCATTTTCGCCTCACTAAGTAAGATGCGCTGTACCTTTTTAAGTGCCTCATTGTCCGGAACGTTGTAGACGATAGCATTTAGTTTAGCATCGAGTCGTTTTGTTACTTCTGTAGTAACAAAGTTAATGAGGTTATCCACCTTAGATACCTATTCCGTGTCAAGTTTGTTAAGGTCTACAGTTTTCATGAGAATAGTTAAGGGTGTCAGTTCACAGACCTGCAGTCTGATATCACTGATCTGACCTGATAAATTGGATATTTTGGTATTGGTATCGGAAATTCCAGGATCTACTGACTTATTTTTTTTTAAGTCCCTTAACTCGGCCTTAAGTTCTCCTATAGACAACTTTAGAAGTTCAATTTCTAAAGATAGTACTGAAACAGAGCTTGAAGGCTGGAGCTTTTCGATAAGCACATAAGGTGTAGGGAGGGTTTCTGTATGAGCAGAGGGTACTGAATTTTTGGGAGTAGTGCTAATACTAGTTGTCAGTACAGTTTTATCCTCTGATTCAGCTCGACGCTTACGACATACAAGTGAGTTATGTGGCTCACTATAACCATTTGTAGGGAGTGTGTTGCTTGATGTAGCAATCAGCGACTTATAATTAGTCATCAGTTTTACAGGGGATTGAGTTCGTTGCTTTTTACTTTGATTAACCATACCTATTTGATATGAGAGTTAATAGTTATAGGTATGGAGGTAGTAGAGTACTTGTGTAAGGATTACAACAAGATAAATTTTATGTAACGACTCACGCAAAAATGTAACGCAAACGTTGGACGTACCGCTAGATGAGCGGGAAGATCTTGTTACAAGGTCTCAATACGGATTTCTCAAAAATAGGTCTTGCGTTACTTGACACTTCGACTTTTTCAACTGCATCGCTAGTAGTCGCACAACACATAAGCTAGTTGTTGTTCTCTACTTCGATATATCTAGGGCATTTGACATGGCATCTCACAGTATTCTCTTTGAGAAGCTGTATTCATGTGGGATTTGTAATCCATTACTGAACTGGCTGAAATCGTTTCTAAGCAACAGGGTACAAATAACCCAGGTTTGATCTGTGTTGTCTCATCCTAGGCAGATCACAAGTGGGGTTGTGCAAGGTAGTGTCCTAGGTCCACTTTTATTTACAGTATAATAATAATAATAATAGTATATTCTCATTTTTTACATGAGGGACACCAGTTTACAGGCATCATCACTTCGATAAATTACACATACGATTAGTAAATATAGTTAGTAATGATAATATAATAAGGTACATATTTGTTCATACAAATATAGGAAAAACAAGTTCTATAGGAATGGATAAGAATTATTTAAGTTACATATTTAAATTACATGATTTACGGTTAAATAACATGGTTGCTGTCATTTTATCTTTAGTTTGTGGGGAAAATCGGATAACTGGTGATTCAATGGAACACACCAACAAATATAGAGATATTGACTTCGCATTAACAAAAAAAACCCAAGTATGCGTTGGATGGATTACATACACTTGGGAAAATAAATAAAGCTTGAAGTCAATTCCCTCATAAAACAATAAAATGCGTCTTACAATAATATATTCCCACTTTATGCACATGAGGGACTCCAGTTGACAAGCATCAACAATATGGTAATAATGCACACATGGAGTAAACATGTTTAAAATTTTCCACTAACACAAAATATATATACAAGGTAAGATAATGAAATATTGACCGTAAGTACACTCTGCATAAGTTAAAACAGTTTATGTGGCATAATCCTAGGCACTATTATTGTTTGAATTTGTTGAACATGAGCGAAACAACTGAGTGTTGCGTTACATTCGGTCGATATGGTGGGCTAGTCACAAAAGTATAAAAATGGCTTATAAAACGTTACTCAGTTTACCGTAAACGATGTTTTAAGCAATATAAACTGCAAACGGCTCACTACAGCAGTTAGTATCCAGTTAAACATGCAGAGAAGTAATCATAATTCAGCAACTTGTGAATTTTTATTCTTTTCTGTCTGGAACCTGAGTAACTGCGAACCAATCCATACAAAAATGTCGAAAAAGGCATGCAGGAGCAGAATTTTGCCATCGAATGAGTCATTGGTATCTGAGATGCAGCTATCAGCATATTTTCGTCATTTCATAGATATCCAGATTTATTGACGCTGTATAGGTTGTGATTTGGATTTGTCATCATGGTCGACATATGGACGAATATTCAAAATCGGAATACAACTTGTTTGCCTTTCGGATTTACTTAATTACATCGCGTGTTGGGTTTGATTACTCTGCGATTTTGATATATTCCGCGGTGTCGCCGTGATTATGAGAAGTGTGCATATGCTTTAAATGCATTACTTTGTTGGCTGCAATCCCCACTGAGTGTATACAACGGGAACTGTGGATTTATGTATTTGCTCATAACTATGGATAAAATATCGCCGCATTCCTTTTGGAAAGGAGACCAGTTGGTGGATTATAAATAATGTCCAAGTAACTTATATCCTTCCATGTGATGTTGTGGTAAGTCTCGACCTTGTTTTCTCATACTTCATTCATATGTTGATTACGGTTCAGGCTTTGTATCAGGTAGACATAATTCGATCGACTCTTATTTGTATGAGTGTTATTTTCATGACTGCTGCTTGTTTGTCTGAAATTATAGATAAAGGCAAAAGAAACAACAGGTGTAGTCTCTAAGTTCATACATTAAATGGGCCTATAATTTCTGAAGCTCTTACATGGGAATTAGCACTGGTATCACTTACAAACCCACTTAGTGTGTCATTAAGAGCTTTTTCAAAGGACACTAGTGAGCTTGCTAGTCGCATTTCCTCAGGTAGTTTGTTCCATATTTGGGCATACCTAATCATGAAAAATTTTTGCCTGGTGGCTGTTTTACATTGTTCTATAGCCACCGTACCTTGAGTGTGTCTAAGGTTATATCCAGTGTCTTCTGAAAACCGAGTACAATTAGTAGGGGTATACACTATGTGGTTAAGTAGTTTATAGAAGAGTACCAGATTTAACCGCAGTCGTCTTAACCATAATGTTTCTAGTCCTAGAATTTCACATCTGGTAGAGTAGTTTGTGCCGTTTTCGGTTCCGATTACTTTCAGCGTGAAGTACCTCTGTACTCCTTCTACTTTTAGTTTGTCTTCTATGCGTATACTACTAAATATGAATGAACAATAGTCTAGGAGTGGGCGCACACAAACCTTGTACAGTAGTATTCTGGATTCACTTCTGTAGAAGTTCCTGAGTAGGAAACCAATAAGCCTGCGTGATTTCGATACTTGTTTCGAGATATGTTCAGAAAATGATAGATTTTGTGAATATGTCAGTCCTAGGTCTAGCACAGATTTGAGTCTAGGGATTTTGTGGCCCTGAATTGCTAGGTCGAGTTCTAGGTTGGGACAGCCTATGCAGAGCCAGCCACACTTTTCGACATTAAACTCAAGTCTCCAGGTGTCACACCATATATCCATTTTTGTTAGTTCTTCATGTATGGAGTTCATAGTTGTACCGATATCTGTGTTTGTGCAGGTATATGTCACCTTTAAGTCATCTGCATACAGTATTGGCTTGCCTATACTAAAGCACTCACATATACTGTTTATGTATATAATGAAAAGAAGGGGTCCCAATACACTCCAGCATTTGCAACTGCTTCATCTCAGGTAAACCATTCCTATATGCTGACGACCTCAAAGTCGTTTACTCCTGCTACGCTCATGAATTAAGCGATATGGTAACTAAAATACATCTTGAACTAAGTAGTCTCGCAACATGGTGTACTGAATCCTGTCTAAAGTTCAACATTGATAAATGCGGCTGGATTTGTATCGCCAACAGTAACCTTGGCCTAAATCTTGAAATAAATGGGTGTAAACTAGCCAAGCTCAACTCAGTCGTAGATCTCGGTATCAGATACTCTAGTAACTTAACGTTCTCTGAAAAAACTGATTATGCCAGACGTAAAACACGAAGGCTCCTATGATACATAACTCGCAGTTTCTTTTGTTGTGAAACTGAGGTTTTATTACACAAAGTATGTGTTCAACCTATTTTAGAATACTGCCCGTTTATTCTTTGCGGACTGAGACAAAATGACAAGCTTAAATTAGAGGGAGTGCAACGGCAATTTACCTCAAGAACTCTTGGTTTAGAAAGTGGTCTCGAATAATATGAGCGTTGCGAAAGACTAAGTTCAGAACCCCTCTGGAAAAGACGTCTGAAGCTAAACCTAATTTTTTACTACAAGCTAACTAATCTGCTCGTGCACTCCTCCGAGCCAATAACTAAGCCCACCGCTGTCATCAGTTACAATCTTAGAAATCATCACAACCTAGCTGCCATAGAGCATTGTCAGACTTACATGCGGTACAACTTCTTCTTAAATAAGTTCTCAGTCATTTGGAATAGACTACCAGCTGATGTGCGTGATGCAAACACACTCACAGTGTTCATCTCCTCAGTCACCAGATTGCTCAAAGATGACAGTGCACTTCTGCGTCTGACTCTTACACCCTCTTTTTCACCCTACATAGATATTTTAAGTTCATTAAACGTGTAGTTACAACAAACTACAATTATAAATTTTTATATTATTGGAAGTACATGATAGATATTTCTACACAGGACAATAATATTAGTTCACACATAATAATAAAGTTAGCATAACGAGACTAGTTAGTTAGTGCACCAGATAACCATAGTTACTAAACATAGGACGCATGCATACATATATAATATGTTATATATATATATGCATATTTGTATATGAATATTTTCACTATACAGATATTGATTATTTATTGGTGGTTCAAATTTCCGTTGTTGGGTAATACTTTTTTCGTGATACTGATTTTATTGAAACCATCCGAATTCTCAGTAAGATTTCTGAACAATAAGCATCAGTATTCAATGTCTGCTACAAATGTTTAATTCTCACCAAGGAACAATGTGGTGACCTTCTTACTCTGGAAAACATCCCACACTGTTTTAAGCGGGAGATATCATAAAGTCTATTCAAAAGGGGAGGTGTTAGGACGGACCAAGTAAGTTTCTTAGCCGTAAAATCATGATTGATGTAATCATAAATCCCAATTTCGAGTATTTATCTACCTATCCACTACATTTTATATTGATGTGTTAAGGATAATTTAAGCTTTTGTTGGAAATAATAAAGGTTACTGTTGTTTACTCAGATAAATCTGACTTCTGTGTGTATGCCTACTCAGTGTATGGGAATATATCCAAGTGATCAGTTGACTACACTGTCGAAAATGCAGGCGCATTTTAGTCAAGTTAGACAACAACAAATCACTAACACTGCGTAACTACTACAGTTACCCTTCTATGTGGTGATGATGATGATGATAATGACGATGATGAAAAGGCAACTAAAGCAAAGACTTACTTCGTTAACAGCAATCCAGTTAAAAGAGTTTATCAAAGGTGAAAGAATAATCTTTGTGAATAAAGGTGAAATCAACATGTCAGAGTACTCACAGTTCACTGATACATATGTATTTCTATTTATGTATATGCAACCGCAGTTCTTACACATCGACATCACATTGCATTAACAGTTGTCACTTCGCACTGTTACACTCATTTATACAATGCGCAAGCTTCTCGAACAACTGATTTTACACACTGCAAATAATTCATCTTGAAATTGTCTCTCCCTGTCTCTGTTTGAGACGCGTGCAAAGGCATCAGAATTAGCCTCTCAGGGCTAAACCTTTATGGTAATCACATCCAGGAGAGTAGTTGATGAATATGCGTTGAAAGCTCTTCTCTGTTCATAAAGATGTACGCGGGGACCTATTGGAAGCACTCATTAAGAAAGCCAGGGAGATGGAATATGGGGTACGAACATGTCTGGTACCAAGCAATATATTTGCGGTAACCATAATAATCATAGTCTCAGAGCCTAACATCAAAAAGGTGGGAGGGTGGAGTTAGCTGATCAGTAGATATGGTGGTGGACATTAAGGTGAATCGCCCCATTCTGCAGGAACAGCATTAAAAAATTTGAAGGCTCGAGATATTTCTGGTTTTTATGAGGGCTTAAATCTTTATCTTGAAAAAGATAACAATGAACGCCTTGACAGATCATGCTTCTACCTTTAAATATATACCATTCACGCAGCCTATTGTTGAGATGCGACCATGTGGGATCTGCTCAGATTTATGGGGCATCTTATAAATTAACTTGCTGTCTATCGTCAGATCTTTTCATACCACTCCACAATGTCTTATCTCATTTATTTTCTGACAACGTCTTTACTTGATCCTCATTTTACTCCATTAAACTTAACATCTTATAGCTCTTCATTACTTATTATACTCCTACTCTCTGAAGGGTACGGTTGTGCACTAAATGCACAAAAAGGTATAAAATAAAAACAACTGGCATGAGGATAATTGTATTAAAACCAAAAGTGGATATCATGATAGTTTGTGATATATCTGTAGCATTATACATTGCAAATGAATGTTGTTACCCTAGGGTGTTTCCTTTATTAATGCATTTATCAATGATACTTGCACTTACCTATTTCATTACAATTTAAGGATTCACCTCAGCACTTTAATTTTTCTAAAACAGATTCCAATCCCTTGTAAAAGGTGTACTTACCTCAGTATTGGTTGGTTATCGTATGCCTACAACCACGGGATGAAAACGGAACGAAGTCGATTTTCCCGCTCAACCTGGAGGACAACTGTACAATTCAATAACTATACGACCTAATTCAGAAAATGAGTGTATTATATGTATCGAATATTTAACAGTTGAAATACGATTAACTTGTAGACAATCTACGGTTTGATATTATATCATACTTGATCGTGCCTGTAAAAATGGCATGCATTTTCATGTAAATTTGTAAATTTATATGAAATACATTATTATTATTATATAAATGTATATATACATATTGATCACTCCTTGATGACTCCACTTGCTTTCTTTTGCGTTGCCTTTGTTTGCTTTCGATTTTCTCTCAACATTTTAGCTTCCATTTGACTTTTTGAATGAGAACGTTGGATGCAGACCATGTTCATGTGAACACTTTCCTAAGTGGAAGGGCCACATACTGTCACTGAGAGCTGTGTTCCCGCCGATACCAACGAGCGATGAAACAAGCGGATATGATTCTAACTTGCCTTTACTGGCTGGCTATTGTATGCTTAAATGAATGGATTAATAATTGTGGAGCCTGAAGAATTTATTGAAACCACAATTGTTCTCTAAATTCCTCCTCAGAGCGTTCTTTCCAACATCCTAGTCGTCCATCTTGGGAGTTAATTATGGTGCCATAGATTGTTCCACTTATGATTTTCCATGTTGCCTTGCGCTACCAATCGCACAATCCTTTCCCATCGCTTTAGTTGCGCACGACTGTTTACGGTCGTTGCGAAGACTTCTTGTTAGTTTGTGCTTGAGCAGCAGCTTCTGTACCCCATCATATTTCGAGCTCGTCGGAATGAATGTTTCAGCGTCAGTCAGTCATTTTGGATGAGATGGTAGAGATCCAATACATCTTATTGAAGTTACGTTTTAGTCAATTGACGGCTTTGACATCTGTGTGTACAGCTAAATAGCTGTATGTTGTTCCAGGCTTCGGCAGGAGTAGTCCTGGTATCCACCGCAGATTCAACGCTTGTTCAGCCGTATATATCTCAAAGTTCTATCACTTCAACGACAACAAATAGGAGAGGACAAAGAAGACTATAAAACTCAAGTTTCAAAGTCGTGTGATTTTAATTCGTGATATGATTATGAACAGCAATAATGATGAATTGTGTTCGAAACAACTTTGTCATCCAGTAAATATTGGTACTGTTTCGCTGACTGTGTGAAACATCTAACAAACCAACTAATATGGAATTAATTACTACCACCACAGTGCTCGTTCGACACATGCCACTTTACATGATATCCGGTTGACTGGCTGTCGAAAAAAGGGCGTGCGTACTGCTCAGCAGTCCACTCCACACTCCTTTATGGCTGGCTCTAAGACATGGCCAGGTAGCCTAGCTGTATTGGATAATACGTGTTTGATTTCTGTCTCCTATGTTAAGTGGCAAAACAAGGAGAGCAGTATTGAAGTTAGCATCCGATTATTAGATGAGGAGGGAAAACCAAAAGACGAGGTGGTGCTGTTACATCAAATGATGTGGCTAGGACATGTGTTGTGCATGCATACACACCCATCGCATTTCATGACCAACAATATAACCAGAAGGACACACGATTAGGGCAGAAAACATCTTAGTGGTGGCATAAAAAATTCAAACAGGAAGTGTGCAGGGAATGGAATTGTATATTTTTACACAAATGAAATATCAAATTTAATAAATATAAAGATGTTATACAACTTATCTGCTGCCTTGACTGGTGGTAGGCTCGGAGAGTGCGCTGAATGAAAGTACAACAAGAGGAGAGAGCGAACCTAGTAGGTGCAGGAGAGTCACAAATCAAAAGATGAAGTGAGTGAGTGTGTTGAGACAAAAGTTCCAAGGTTCAGTTTACACTACAGACCTGAGAC